TTGACTTGACTACCTATAGAATAGAAAAAAGATAATTCAGAACTCTTAGTAAAGGTAAATGAAGAAATAATCAATATAATGAAATGTGATCTTGATGATGATTGTGCTGTTATCTTAATTTAAGATGATTGGAGTACATTTAGTAATGATTTTATAATTGCTCATAGTATCCAAGACGATATAAATATGATATTTTAGAGAGGTTTAAGAAAACATTTGTTCCATATAATTTTTTGGCCAATTTAACAGATCTAAAATGTAAAGGTAACTATAAAATTGTAAAAAAATTAAAAACTTGGATCTGATCAAATTAAAATAAATACTGATAAAAAAATTTTCTACTTATCTAAAAAGAACCTTGGATAGAAGTCAAGAAGACGAAGCTGAGTGATTGCTGAAGAATGAAAGAACCTTGTATAGAAGTCAAGAAGAAGAAGCCGAGAAACGGTTAAATGAAGTCTGATTTAGGAATCAGGATATTTAGAAAAATTAGGAACCTTTTAGGAAGAGGAAAGCAAAAAATGCTTTTACGAATTTACATACATTAAGGTCAAGATGAACAATTGCTGATGACTAAGTTGTTAGATAACTTTGTTTTAAAACCTTTAAGTTTGAATATTTCTACTCCAAATAAAATAAAATCTCATATATGATTCACTAAACTTCTTGTTTTTATAACAATTTTTGAGCAGCATTAAATCTTGAGTGTGAATGGAAATTAATTTATGAATAAAAATATTGTTAATATAAAAACCCATAAAGTTGGGTTTTTGGTGGGTTTTTGCTCTTGGGTTTTTGGGTGGGTTTTTGGTTTTGGGTTATTGGGTGCCAACCCTGGTTTGGATGGGCATAATAAAATTTTTGAAACCAAAACCGAAATAAAAATTGCAAGTCATGCACGTGTAGCAAGAGTTACAGAAAGAGAACAGTGAAAGCTAGATATTTTAAGAGAAAAACAGGTCGAAGGAGTGGCTGCTTTGCTAGAATATGATTCTGAGACAAATAAATAAAGATGACCAAACTAAAATTGATCCTGATTTTGAAACAAATCTACACCAAGAAGCAACAAAAGTAGATCAAGGCGAGTATGTAACTTTAAAGCTACCTAGGAAAATAATGTAATTTTACCAGATAACCAGTGCTGCTGATCGTCTTAAGTTGTCAGACAATCAAACAACAATGATTGTATCAACATTGATAAAAACTGCTGGAGATAATCTTGAAGATTTTGAGATCTACAACTTGAGATCTACAAAATCTACAAGCTGGAGACCAAGAATGTTCAATTGTCAAAAGATTGCAAAAAGTGTCATGGAGACAGTGAAACAGAACCCTCCCCAATAGAGTGCTTTGCGTTGGGATGGTAAAATTTTAAAAGATATGCTGGGAGACACATATGAACAACTTGCAATTCTTATTTCTGGAACTCACGAATACAAGGATGGGAAATAATTAGGTGTACTTTCTCTAACTAACTTCCAAGGAGCAACTCAAGCTGAAGCAACGCTTGATCTGATACAAGTTTGTGACCTATCAGACAGTTGTAGTTCTTGTGTTTGATTTAACAGCTAGCAATAGTTGTATACACAAAGGAGCTGCTAAGTTAATGGAAGCAAGTCTAGATAAAAAATTTAAAGATCTATGGTCAAACTTAGATAAAGTTCAAGTACTGAAAACTGAAAACTAGCGGTTGTTAAACATAAAACATAGAACTTACAGACATCTTGCTATCTTGCAAGGATTCAACAACTTTTCCAAGAGATGATTATCGTAAATCTGCTGAAAACAATCTGATAATCTTGGATGAAACTACCCCATGTGGTGCCCACTTTCTCAAACTAGGAAGATGCATCAAGCACATTGAATGGCCAACAACATATATGCTAGAAAGATGTATATGTTTTCCAAACAGATTCAGTATGGTGACATGGTTGCTAAACTCAAGCGTATGAATAGATTTTTGGCTCATTTCTACACTCCTGCATGGATGAAAACATCATGGGGAGCAGATGTATCTATGAACAACCTCCAATTTATTTATGACATGATTGATTTTAAAAATGTTGACAAAGATATTGCTGATGTTGTGATTAACAAACTCCGTAATCATTAATGGTACTTGTCAGAAAAAGTTTTGCTGTTTGCTTTATTTAGTAAACATCCTTTGATGACACATACACTAAAGAAAGAAATAGCGAATCAATTTCTTTTGACTCCAATACCAGAAAACTTCTGCCATTGTAAACCAGTGTTTTAAAAAAATGGTCATGAAATAACTTTGACAAGTTTGATTGGACCTGAATCTCATTAATTGTTCTACATTTAAAAAGGGAGCTTCCAAGGGGCTTTCCAAAAGGGGCAAAAGGGGCTTTCCAAACCAGTGGAGCAGTGGAATTCAGACCAGGCTTTTAGAGTTGCAGAAAAATTTGTTTGTACAGTTAAATTTGTCAACTAATATTGAGCAAAATGCATGGTTGTTGCAGGGTGTAGAGAAAGTTATATTCTAGTTTTGATAAAATTGACACTAAATTTGTGAAACTGTAGTGTATTACTAAGTACTTTATGAGTGTGTTGAGTATAAGAGGTTAAACACTTTTCAAATAAATTACTAATTTTTTAAGTAAAGACTGTAAAATCCTTTGCTTTTTGACATATTTGGTCACAAAATTGACTAAAACATTTTATTTTTTTCAAGTTGAAATGTTAAATGTAACATTACCTTATTTTTTTTGTAGATCCCAATATATATATATATATATATATATATATATATATATATATATATATATATATATATATATATATATATAAATATATATATATATATATATATATATATATATATATATATATATATATATATATATATATATATATATATATATATATATATATATATATATATATACCGCATTAAAAGTCATTAAAACAATTTTTTCTTTTAATTATTTAACTTTTACAGTTTAGCTAAAACAGAAGTTACAAATAAAATCTAAACTTTATTACAGTTTAGTTTTGGTTATTTTATGCTGACTATTAACCTGTTGATTTTTGTGGTATGCTTTTGCTTCTTTATTTTTATTTAGGTATTTTGAAAATTGGATTGCATTTCTGTAGACAGTACTTTGTAGATGCCGAGAAGCGCTGTCTTGTTTAATGTAACGTGTTCCATTTATATAACGTAATGCAAATGTTCTTATTGCACCTTTGGTGTTGGCCTAAATATTTTCTTGATAAAGCGCAGATACATTGCATAAAATTTTTACTACATCCCTAATTTCATTCTGTTCAGCAGTTTCTGTACAAACAATTTCTGAAAGATTCCATTTTTTAAAAGTTTCAAAGTGTTTTTATTTAAAATGTTATCCATTTGATAAATAATGATATTTTGATAAATTTAATCAAGTAGTATAAAAAAGATTGATTATTTGATTTGTTGAAAGCCATAGTAAACATAAAACCCCTTATTAAGAAAATCTCATTAGGAAATAACAAATAACTATCATAAGCTAAAATTTTATTCCACTTTACTAAAAACACGTTGGTGTTATCTTTTTTTTAAAGCAATTCTAGTCTAGAAACAAATTTAAGTTGCATTAAACAATAGCCAACTTTACTAAGTGTAATAACTATTTTACTTTAAATTATAATTATTGTAGCGACATGTGTCTTTCCTTTTTTCCAAATGAGGCCCACATAAAATTTTCTTACTGATAGTTATTAAGTTAATAACTACAATAATTATAATTTAAAGTAAAATAATTATTACACTTAGTAAGGTTGGCTATTGTTTAATGCAACTTAAAATTGATTACTTACTACTAAAATGTTAGTTAATAACTTATTAACTAACATTTTAGTTGTAAGTAATGTAACAGTTTCCGTTACCAAAGAAAGACCCATAAAATCAAAAATTATAAGAAAAATATTTTTAGAAACAAGAAAAAATTAATTGTGCTAAATAGTATTGTTTTTTTCTTAAGTATTTGTTATAAATATTATATTTTTATATATATCATTGAGAAGGTAAATCTGACCCAAATATAAATTTTTAGTTATATTCAGCCATTTTGGGTTGAAATAAAAAGTATTATAAAAATCTGTTTTTACTTTGTTTCTTTCTAATAGTTGTTACAAGTTTCATTTATTTATAATTACAATTTCATACTACTTGACAGTTTTAAACAGTGCTTAAGCATAGCAAAAAAACAAAATTTTTTTTAAAGAACTAGACTTTGGTAAAATAATTGTCTACTACTCATAAACTTGTTCAATATTTCGAATCAACATTCTTTCTATGATCAATTAAAAAAAATAATTGACAATGGAAAAGCTTCAAAAAGCAACTTTGAAATTAAAATGTCAATTATTTCATAATTTGTTAAGTCTAATGTTGGCTCTTCCTTCTTCTTAAGGAGGATAGGGCTTAAGGAAGGGCAGCAACACCCTTCTTACACTACCCGTGAATTTGGCTCTGGGTCTTGCCAATAAATGATCAGGCAATACTTTAATCAAAAAAGTACTTAAGATTAACTTAAATAATTTAAGACAAACATAAATACTTTTTTTATGTACTTTTTTAATTAAATACGATGAAAAGTTTCAACATAAAACACTTTTTTTTTTCTTAAATTCATTTTTTATTTAAAAAAATATATATATATATATATATATATATATATATATATATATATATATATATATATATATATTTATATATATATATATACATACACACACACACACATACACACACACACACACACACACACACACACACACATATATATGTATATATATTTTGTGTGTGTTTTACACGAAATACACATAAAATCAAAAGTAATAATCTATAATTGCTTAAATCTAATTTTTAATTTTAAACTTAACTTTAATTAAGTAATTTAATAAAATAAGTGATAATTTATTGAAATATAAATTAATTTGTTATTATTACTTTTTTACTTAGTAATTTATTATTAGAATTTTTTTTACTAATTTAGGTCAATTTCAATTGCTTTCTTCTGTTTCCGCTGGAGCTTCTGTGTATTCTTTTTGTACAAAAATAAGATATGAATCGTTTTCTGAATCGTTAATTGGTCAAGTTTTTAGTTTTCCTACAATAAATTTATTTTCATATAAAGTTAACCTTCCTTTAAACCTAAATGTTACAAATTTAGTTTTTTCATTAGATAATTTCGACTGTTTCAATTTCAGTAGTTTAAGATTACGTGTCTATTTGTTAGTGTCTCAAGACAATTTATTTAACAATGTTTTTATTGATCTACAAAATATGTTGTATGATTATTCAAACTTATATCTTTCAAACGAACAATCTGTAAATTTTGTTTTGGCTCTTGGTGTTAATCAAATTGATTTGCTGAACCTCTATAATTTTGCTTCAAAAAAGTATTCTGGATTAGTGAATTATATTGGTATTGTTGTAATGCCTGAAAATAAATTGCTAGTTGATTCTTATTGTAATGTTAACAATAGTAATATTGAATTGGATATAGCATATGGAACAGGTTTAATTTTCTAATGTTATTGTTGTTATTATGGAACTTTTTAGTATATAATAAAATATTATAAAAAGTATAAATTTTATAATATACTTTATATTATAAATATAATATACAATATTATAGTATATTATTGTAATATATTATATTAATATATTTCTTATTTAGTTAAAATTATTTAACATTATTATTATAGTTATTACAAATTATATTTAGTATTTAACATATTTAAATTAAAGCAAAATATTTAAAATATTAATGTTTTTCATTTATTTATTAAAAATTATGATTCACTTTTTTTAAGTAAAATTTTTTTAGAAAAGAAATTCGTAGTGTTTTGGACCCATTTTTTTCAACAAATGTATCTTTCCCATAGTTATGCACACCAGTTAAAATAAAGTGGTTAGTCAATAAACTCTAAACTTTATGAGTTAAGAAAACATAAAAATGAGGTAGAAATCTAAAGCACTGATGCTTGAGGAAAAAAAACTAAATGAATTACAGTAAAAGAATGTAACTTCCAACAAGGCTTCAACTACTACTAGAGCTGGAATTTACTGGAAGAGAAAAAATGAATTTTATTGAGCAAGATAATGATTGACAGATGAAGGAAGCAAATTCCAAACAACTGGTGTTCAAAGAAATAAACTAGGCAAATATGAATTTTTGAAGCACTCAGGAACAATCACAGTAAAAGAATTAAGTCTCTTTAAGAACAGTTCTGTCCATTTAGGACAACCTTTATACTAGGATTGGTAAGGAAAGATTCAATAATCTTAAAGATGTTACCTGATACTTTAGAAATGTCAAGTGCGATAGGTTTAACTTCTCCACATCTATCTAACGCACGATAGAGCCTATCAGTTATAACTGTTAGTAAATCAGCTGTAGAATGGATAATGGGACTAATGGGATTACATCTTGAATATTATTATTGAATATATATTATTATATATTGAATGTTATATATAATTTTTTAATAAATTTTAACAAATGTTATATATAATTTTTTAATAAATTTTTTTTTTATTAAAAAATGTTATATATAACTTTATATATATTTATAATATATTTATTAAGGTGTTTTATCAATGAGTTTTATCAATGAGATTTATCAATGAGATGAGTCTGATCGCTTTCCAGAGTTTTCGAAAATAGTGTTTTCAAAAATAATTTGACTGCATTTAAAATTTAAGCTCATTTTAAACTTTGAGTAAAATCTTAGCTTGAGCTGTAAAGTAAGACAGTTTGGTCTTATTTTAGTAAATAAACATAAATTTTTATACAACACTGAAGTTAAAGGACAAGTTTTATCTTCAGTGTTGTATATTAATTTATGTTGTAAAATGTAAATGTAATGTAAGCTGTACTAAAATGTAATGTAAACTTTGCTAACCACAAAGTAAAATCAATTTTTGAAGTGAAAATCAACATTTTTATCTGCGTTTCACAATTTTACATGATTCGCAGTTCTCTGAGAATATAAATTTTGAAACCTCATAACAGTAATATAATTGAAATCCCTATATTATAGGGATGCCGCTTTCCAGCAGACTGGAAAACAAGACTCTGATAAGCACTTGTTAAATAGTTTTAAATGTATAGATGACAGCTTTAGAGAACACTTCTGCAAGACTATAGCAGATATATTGTCTGTAACACAAGCTGTAGACTGTAACTTAACTGAATAGGTCACCCAAAGCTAAGTTTTAGTTAATGGGTAATGTAATGATAAGTTTCTTGAGCAGCAAATTGTTAGTATTTGAAATAGAGAAAGAGATTTAACCTTACATCAACTGGATAGAGACTCAAGCTTAGCATTTACATCAGTTTCATTTACAATCAACTTGCTATAAATGCTAGGCTTGGACCTTTAATTACAACTAAGGTGTTTTACAACAACATTTACAATGCCATTTATAAACCTAGTATAAAGGTGCAGGGGCCTCATTAGAAAAATAATTTCATTTATGAAAACAATATTTCATGCAAAGACAAATAAAAGATTATTAGTGGTAGATAGTGGAATCAGGAGTCAAAAGTATAGAAAGCATGATTAAGAGAAGCAATCTGTAGCAAATTCAAAGGTTGTTCATATGGTTTCCATTAAGGTCAATAGTAAAGGATAATTTGAAAATTGGCCAAGTAGAGAAAAGTTTGTCTATTCAAAATATATTATAATATTTATATAGGATAACTATAATGCAATAGTTATAAACAATAAAGAACTTAACTTTGTTTGTTTTCAAGCTATCTAGAAGTTACTGAAAACAGTGGAGAGAATTGTCCATCAAAAACAATGTTAATAATGCAGTTTATAAAAAAATACTTATATTTTAGAATACTTTCCCAGATTCACCATATTAATTTTACTTTATTAAAGATTGTTTACATGTCAAGAGCTCTTTAGCTCAAATACTTCAGTTTAATGCATGATACAACCTTTCTGTTAGCAATTTAGCAAATCTAGGTAGAAAAAGATAATTAAATTTTGTATCAATTGTCAGAAATTGGTTAGATTCAAAATTTAATATTAAAAAATTGTTATTTAAAATATCAAAGACTTCACTAATAAAATAATAATAATATACTTTAATAATAATTGTTATATTTTTTAATAATAATTGTTAAAAATTTTTCCAGAAGACAGGAAAACACACTTCAGTTTAGCACATGTTAATAAGTTTAGAGAGTAATTAAGTTTCTCTTTTCTAGAGACCTTTCATTCCTTTTCTCTTCTTTAGAGGCGTGTAATGTTTGCTGTGTTGTCATGTTTTAGAGAAGTGCAACTAAGAGAACTTTAAAAACAGAAAGAGTGATTTGTGATAATGAGTAATGGCTTGGTCAGATCTGAAGCAACATTGAAAAAATTACAAAAATTAGGATAGAAGGAGAGTGATAAAGAGCAAGGTGATTGAGCAAAGAGCTAAAGTTTACACTAGTTTACACTATTACATCTAAACTACCTGAAGAAGAACATTATAAAATAAATAAAAGCATATTAATAAAATATTCCTTCTTAATTTTTAGAGGAATAATGACAATAAGTGAATTTATATGGCTAAGCATGTCCTTATTAGGTTGTTTTAAAATTCTTTGGGTTCTTTAAAATTAAAAGGATAATAGCCATTAACACTGAAATCCTGGAATGAAACATTTAAATTTAAGTAAGTTTAAGAAGCAGCAGGTTGGTTGTGTGAATTTTACAAAAATAAGATTCAATTTAATAAAGTTTCTTTGAAGACAACAAGTGCAACAGGAAAAATGAAACAATTTAGTGGTTATCATGGTATTTTTACTTCATATTTTGAGGTACTTACTTCATGTTCTTAACTAAAATAGAACTTTATTCAATTATAGATAGTGAAGGACACTTTAAGCAATAAGCCATGTAGCTTTCTCATTTTTGAGAAAGCTACATGGCTTTCTCATAATCAACTCAAAATTTTATAAATAAGATATTTATTTAGCCTCAAATATGAACACATATGAAGCACTACTATGGACAATATCGATAAATGTTACAATGTCAACAGAGGATGATTGGTTGCTGATAAATTTTCTTAATTTAATTGAAACACGCTACAATACAAAAAAATAAAGGAGTTTGTATCTACTTAACACTTAGTTTTACTTTTTAAAATTTTATGTTAATGCTTCTTCACTAATACGAATTAAACATTTTCTCGTAACTCTATTTTTTCGATTTTTACAAACTGATCAAATTATTAAAACCAAGTAACTTTGTTGTGACTTATTTCAAGAAATCACAATCATCTTTATCACTCTAAAGTGGAGCATTTATTCTCCAAGTGTTTAAACTATATATTAACTTCAAAATGAGTTATTTCATTGTGTACCTTGTACTGTGTTCTTTCTGTTTAAGAAATTGACAACTAATTATTCAAAAATTATTTTACTTTTAAAACTTTTCTAAGACCAAAATGAATCTTTAAACATACAGAAAATGTTACTCAAATTTTTAATTATAATAATTTTCTCTTTGAAAAAAAAAAAAAAAAATTCCAAAAACATCTAAAAATAACTCTTCAATAATATTTAATATAAAGTGTTACACACAAAAAACATCGTAAAAAATTGTGCCTAAATTCTTTTAATTATGATTGGTATCATTTTAACAGAGAAAGTTTAGTGTAAACTCTACAAGTCTTTTTTTTATAGCATTTATAGCTGCAATATATATATATATATATATATATATATATATATATATATATATATATATATATATATATATATATATATATATATATATATATATATATATATTGCACCATAAAGATTTTACCATGTTTTTTACCATGTTTTTTATAAAATAACCTTCAATATATAATTATAACTATTTTTGAAATTTTTATAAAGTTTCGCTTTTTTTGAGACCCAACATGACATTTATTTGAAAAACTTTTTTTTCTTCTGTTTAGGGTCTCGTTGCAAGTTTCAGACTTAATGTGGCCCCCTTAAATCTCATTCAATTTTGAAAAAATTTAACAGAGTGTCTCGTGAGAACCAACAGATGGTTTTAAGAATAGTGGAAGATCAAATTTTAAAAGTATGGGGCGTTTGATGCACCCTAATATATATATATATATATATATATATATATATATATATATATATATATATATATATATATATATATATATATATATATATATATATATATATATATATACAGCCTTCAAAGAGGCCAACCTAGCTGCTGACCTAGAGTAAAAGTTTTAAGAAGCAAAAGAAAAACCATTCAAACTAAGATGAGTAAAACATTTATTGGTTAAATTTTAATAAATGCTTTAAGTTTTCTCTAACACAGAAGGCCTTTCATTTGAAATCTTCAGCTGTGTATGATATTTACAAAACTTTGAAATTATAAGATGTTAAATATGAAACTATAAGATCCTTAGAGAAACTGAATAATAACAACAAAATTCTCATTAAGTCTGCTTATAAAGGTTGTTTTTTTTCCTGCCGTTTAGTTCTGATTGATGCAGATTACTTGCGTATCAAGACCATTTATTAACTGAAACATATAAAAAAGTTGATAGTAACACAAAAGAAAGTTTTAAGAAACTTAAAAATCACGTAGATAATTTTAAAGAACGTTTAACAAAAAAGAAACAATTTATCTCAAAAACTATGAAATGGAAAACTAGCAATTTTTGTGTTACCAAAAATTCATAAATCTAATGCAATAGAAACATTCATAAAAGAATCTAATAAATAATATATTAAATGTTGAAAAAATCTAATCATCTTTTGTACCAAAATTAACAACAATTACTATTTATTTTGTATCATGTAATAGGTGGGATGGAAAAACAGTATATATTGGTAAAACTAATAATCTATTATATAAATTTTTTTGCAATTAAGTAAAAAAATTTATGATAAATCATATAAATTTGATATTGTATATATTATAGCTTATTTGTTCTAAAAATAAACTTATTTGTTTACGCTTGTTTTAATTGAATATTTTATAAAATATATTTATATTATATTTTGAATATAATATTTTTAATTTTTCTTAATATAATAGAAAATTCCTCTGATAGCAGTTTTAACAGTAGGTTATAGCAAGGTTGGATTTTGGTGTTAACAGCCTTCCGATAACTAAATTTACTTCTGCTGTTATCCAAACAGAGACTTTAGAATACAAGTTTAATTTATCACTGGCATTAAAAACTGCTGATTTACTTTTAACCAGCCGATATTTTATTGCAGGGTTTAACTGAGGGATATGAATAAGGCTTCAGGCCAGCTTATTAGATAAGAAATATTTAGCTAAGCCATAAAGTCTTTGCCTAGAGGGTTTTTCACACAATGTAGATAGATGCATTTAACATCTGACTTGTATGACTATTTTTTATTAGGAAGCTAATAATAACATTTACTCAGCCAATAGACCAAGGCAAGGGATAAATTAAGTGTTAACTTTTCTTAGCTTTTGTCTAAAAAGGTGAATTTTACAGGGTGTGAAGCAGGTTGTACTAACATACATGTTTCTAGCAGTAGTAATTTCTTAACAAATTACTGAACTGAATATAAATGAATAACTGCTACATATTATTGAATCAAATAACTGTAACATTACCATAACAAGTTACTGAAGCATTTTACTGAAATAAACTACTGGAACATGTAACTGGAACAAATCTTAACTTATTTCTAGAAAATTTCATCAGAACTTATTATTGGAACTGCAAAATATTATTTGAGGAAACTACTTGAGCATGTTACTGAAACAATTTACTAGATCAAATTACTAAAGTTAACAATAACAAATTACTGGAACATATCACTAGATTAAGTTACTTGAACATATTAGTAATTTTTTTTGTCAATTTAAATTTGTTCTTAAATTTTGATTCTTTTGCTTCTTTTGTATGTATATTGGTGCTTATATGTATATACTGCTTCTTTTGTATGTATATTGTTGCTGTGACTACAGAAATCTCTTGTTTAAAAATTAATCTTAAAAATCTTGAAAATGTTAGCAAAGATATATTTATAGAAAAACATATTTTATTTATAATAAAACATTAGCTTTTATTATATTTTGCAATGTTTGAAACCTAAATTGACAATGTTTAAAGAGAATTTTACTATAAATGTTAAATAAGAAACTTCTATACAATTTTTTTTTGTATTGATAGAGTTTTTTTGGCTGAAACTTAAATCCTATGCATTATACCATTTTCATCACTACAGTTATTAGTGAAAAAGTTCAAATAAAAGTGTAGAAAGTTAATTTTTAATGATGCATTTTTGTAAGCTGAGAAGTCTCACAATTTCTTCATAGTTAATTGCATTCTTGTTTCTAAAAAATTATAACCAACAAGTTTAAAGGATTCCCAGAAATTTATTGCCTACTTCTTGTACGTTGCATTGTCACAAGATCTTCATAGATTCATCTGCCTCATCTGCTTTCTTGTTTCCTAAAAATTCTCAACCTCAAGTTTGAAGGTTTTTCAAGAATTCTTCTCAAAACCCAGAGAATTTCATCTTTCAAAGGTTCATATATATGTGAAGCAGTAAATACAAAATTTTGCATATCTCAATTTCATTCCGAGCTTGACAGCAATTACTTAAATTAGTCTATTGATCTCATTGTTGCCTATTTTTTGTACATTAAGAGAAGCATTGTCACAAGTACTTCATAGTTATTTGCATTCTTGTTTCCAAAAAAATAACAATTAACAAGTTTGGAAGATTTCCAGGAATTCTTTACAAAACCCCAGAGGATATAAAAGTGTTTATTTTTCAAAGGTTCACATATCTGTGGACCAGCAAACACAAAAGTTTAAGTATCTCAGTTGCAATCCCAGCTTGATGCTAATTACCTTTACCACAGATCAGATTGCAGTTAATAGATTCAAGAAAAATCTGCATGTTAAAAGACATTTTCTAAATGTGATGACTCATCTAGACTGAAAAAAAAAGATTATTCCAAGGTTTAGATTATTTTTAAGTAAAACTGAATTTATCATAAAAACTAAAGTTAAACTTAATTTTTAATGTCATAATCTTTTTCAACACAACACAATTAGTTATAGTTGGCTGATTTCATCACTGATACATTTTGCTGAACCATAATAATTCAACATATTTGATTTATTACACTTTTATATAGATTATACTTTTAATATGATTTACTTACACTTTATGACTAATTAGAGTTTCCAGTCTCCAAAATTACTTACATAAGCAGGTTTATTATAGTTCTTAGAGATTGCTTACAGAAGTTTTATTGTCTGCATTTATCAAGATTGCAAAAACATTATAATTAGAAAAATTGTTTTCTTTTAATAGGATATTTATTTACAGGTAAAGTTTGGGTAAAATAATAAAATTGATTTTACCATTATAATATTCAATGACAATTTACAGACATTTATTATTTGTTATCATTTGTCATTGATGCCAAACTTGATTTCTTTTTTAATACTTTAGTGTTTGTTATTAATTTTTTTTATTTGTTAATGGTAATTGTTAACTTTTTTTATTGTTAGCAATGTGTTTATTTATTTTAGTTCCAATGACAACAGTCTCTTTGGATTGGGCTATAACTTTTAGTACTGATATAAATTTGTTATTTAACCAGAGTATACCGAATCATCCATTGACATCTGTATTTACATATAAAGTTAATTTGTTTTCAAATGTAGATGTTTCAAGTTTGAATTTTTCAATTGATAATTCTAATAATTGTAATGTTTATAATAACCTTACTATGACTATCTATTTACTTGTGTCTCAAGACATTCCAATTAACAGTACAGATGAATTGCAAAAGTTGTATGATTATTCAATGTTGTATCTTTCAAACAAACCATTTGTAGATTTTGTTTTACAGCAAGGATACAATAATATTGATTTGATAAACCTCTTTAATGATGCTAAAAACAATTATCATGGAGTAGTGAATTATATTAGTATTATTGTAATATTTAAAAACATTTTAAAAAATGATGTATATTGTGAAGTCAACCAAAATAATGTTGCATTGCTTATATCATTCGGAAAAGGTTTAGTTTTTTTAACTATTTTTTAGATTTTGTTGATATAATAGTTTTATCTTCAGAAATTATAATAAAATCTATTTTTACTATTGCTTCTCACAATAGTGGGATATATTCTGCTAAAATTTTTGAAATGACTCCAACAAGTCCTAAAGTTTAAAATAGTTTCAACATATATTTAAAAGATATTTTAATTTAATTGCTGTGTTAAATTATTATGTATTATACATAATAAATGGTAAACTGACATTTTTTTTGATAGCGATATGAGTTATCCTTTCTAAACGTTTTTAACTGGATCTAACAAATTTTGAAATATATATTTTTTTTAATATTATTTATGTCCCTAAAACTAAGAGAGTCTCTACAATTGAGGAAGCTACTTTCTTGTGGTTACAACCCTCTCTCCACAACATTAACCCTAAAATAACAAGGCTAATGAGTTGAGAAACAAGTTGAGTCCAATACTACCAAGGGTAGTGGGTATTACAAGATTCAGGGTAGGGATTGAACTAGGAACATAAAGTGAGCGCTTTATCACACCACTACCGCATACGTGCATTTTGTTTTTGTAAAATATTTTTACAAATGTTATATATTTACATTTTATATTTATACATATTAGTGCATTATTATATTTATGCCTACATACTTATATTAAAACATAAATATATTTTATATTATACATACATATTTTAACATTTTTACATTTGATAAAACTTTTTTATTTGAAATATTTTTCTCCAGTTGCTGTATTTCAAAATGTAATAAATAATAAACTGAAATTATATTTTTTAAACAATTAACTTTAAGTAACTTTTTTCTGTTTTTTCCACTTGTTCTTTTACTTTTTTATAGATTTAATAAGAAATCATTTATTTTAAATTAAAGTCATTTTAAATTTAAGTCATTTAAATATTTTAATTTTTTATTGACCTGCAGTATAAACTGCTGTGTTTTATAATTGAACTGTGTTTATTAATATGTTGGTTACATACTTGAACTCAATTATAAATATCAAATGTCAGATAATTAAATCTTATGTATTTGTATAGAAGTTTCTTGTTTAACATTTATAGTAAAATTCTCTTTAAACATAAGTTTCTCCTATATTCTTACAACCCTTCTAATGGTTACATGTAAGTACAACCTGCCTCATATCTTCGTGCTTTGTGGAATTCGCTTTTTTAGGCTAAGGCAAGGAGAAGTAAAATCTTACTTCAAATACCCCTGCCTAAGGCTCTTCGTTAAGTAAAAGTTAAAGAAAGTGTCTTGATATAAATACTTATCTTGGGCAGATGTAAACTGCATCCAGGTACTTTCTTGTAGAGGGCCTTATAGTCAAAGACTTTAATGTAAGCTGAAAATTCTGTTGACCAGCCTTGAATCGCTTCTTTATCTATTAGGCTGACGTAGATGTAAACCTGTAAAACATTAATTCCTGTCTAGGGTAATGAATGCTGGATCTTCTCAACTCTTCTCAAGATATTTTGCTTGTGTCTCCATGGTTATGACTATGCCACTCTTCCTATTATTAAAAACTAAGTTTTAAATAAACTAAGTTGATCAACTAATAGTACTGAGGTCGGCTGGTAGTATGGTTTTCTAAACTCAGTGGTTACTCTCAGAATTCCCAGTTTTCTAGACAACCCTAATCACTTACCTTCCTGTTTCTAACTTAAACTTGTATACAGTTTCTCCTTGTTCTTTATTAGGAGATATAATGTTGATTTAAGCGTTGATTTGGAAACAAGAATGCAATGTTGATTTAAGCGTTGATTTGGAATTAAGAAATCAATGTTTAAATTTTAGCATTTATTCAAGATCAAAAAAACAGTGTTGAACTGACCTCACATCTTACAAATGTAAAGGAAAGAGGAGATGAAATTTTAAATTCATATGATTTCACACAAATGAAGTTTTAAATTTTCATGTAAACAAATTTATTTTTTGATATGTTCAAGGAAAGATTTTTTGCGAATTCAACTAAATTCATTTATTTTCAATTGGCAGCCATTAAAAAGAAATATATGTATAAAAAAATTCATTAAAATAAAATAGACCAACTTCATGCTCAAATTTTAACTTTTAAAATCAAAACAATATCCTACTAATTCTAGTTTTGTAAATATTTAACATTTCAAACCAACCAAATTGAGCTTTGATTAAAGTCAGCCTAAAATGTGTCATAAGACTTAAATATGTCATAATGTGTTATAATCAGCCTTAAATATATATATATATATATATATATATATATATATATATATATATATATATATATATATATATATATATATATATAATATATATATATATATATATATATATATATATATATATATATATATATATATATATATATATATATATATATACATATAAAAGCTTCTATGCCTGCATGTATCTGGGAAGAATGCACAATTTTTGTTATTAAAATAAAAGATATTAGAACTGGTTAATTGTGAAAAAAATTACAAAAAGAATCTTTGTCACCTTTAAAGTAGTAGTAAATAATGAGATCTGTTAACAAAAAAGTTTAAGATAAAGGTTTTAGTAAGTTTACACTATAATCTAAACTAATTAAAGAAAGACAAGGAGAAACTAAAAACATCTTGGGTCAAAGACAATTTCGCTCCTTAATGTGTATTAAGGAGCAAAACTAAGTGAGTAAGGTTAACTAGAAAATTAGTCACAAAGTAAACTATTTGAGTAAGAGATTAAGTGATAATGAGGGCTTGGTCAGATCAGAGGCAACATTAAAAAAATAAAATTACTATCTTAGAAAGAAAGAAGGCAATAAAGAGTAAAAACAAAAAAAAGATTTAGTAAAAAGGTCTAATAGCACATAATTCATGATTCATGACAATTTAAATAATATGTTAAAAGATACTGTCTTGGAAAGGAGGGTGATAAAAAGCAAAATAAAAGGTGATTGAGTGAAGTGGTGCTTAACATTACATTAACTTTACATCATAATCTAAACTACCTAAAGAAGAACATATTAATATAAAGAAGAACATAGTAATATAACGAAGAACATATTAGTATAAAGAAGAACAAATTAATATAAAGAAGAACATATTGATATAAAGAACATATTAATATAAAGAAGAACATAGTAATATAACGAAGAACATATTAATATAAAGAAGAACATATTAATAAAATAAAAGCAATAGGACATAAAAGAATATTCTTAATATTCAGAGGGTTCATGACAATAGGTGAATTTATATGCCAAGGCTAAATATGTGACTATTAGATTCTTTATAAATTGAAAATTCTTTAGAAATGATAGGATAATAGCCATCAACATTATATTCATGAAAAACGAAACATCCAAATTCAAATTAGTCTCACAAGCAGCAGATTGGTCTTGTGAATTTTGAAAAAGATAAGATTTAATTTGAAATAAAGTTTCTTTGAAGTTAGCAAGTTTTTGTAAAGAAAAAATTAAAACAATTTGTTGGTTATCATGGTTTTATTTGTCTCATTTTTAGGTACCTAGTTCATGTTTTAAACTAATAAAGAACTTAAGTCAATCATAGATAGTACTTGCCCAATGGCAAAATAACCCATGACAAGGGGTAAAGTGGTAACAACTTCTTTAGTTTAGAAACGCAAATCATACAAGGCAGCAGGGCTTGAAGTAGGTTGTACTAAATTACATAATTCTAGTTGCAGTATTTTCTGAACATGTTGTTGAAACAAATAACTGCTATGTATTATTAAATCAAATAACTGGAACATATTACCATAACAAATTACTGAAGCATTTTACTGAAACAAGTTATTAAAACATATTACTGGAGCAAATTTCAGAATCATACTATTGAAACAAGTTACTGGAATAAATTTTTAATCTTTTTTTTTTTTGCTTCTTTTATATGTATATTGGTGCTGTGATTACAGAAATCTCTTTATAAGAAATTATCTTGAAAATATTGGCAAAGATTGTTTTTATTCTATTTTACAATGTTCAAAGCTTAAATTAACAATTTTTAAACAAAATTTTACTATAAATTTTAATAAGAAACTTCTAAGTACCTGTATATTGTTTTCTGTATTGATAAAGCGCATATTTTTATTTGACTTAAACATAAATCCTCTGCATTACATCATTTTTTTTTCTTTGATTTTGTCACTTTTGCTCTACATTTGAGGCACATGTTCACCATATTTATTACTAACTCCACTCTTTATTAGTGAAAAAATCCATATAAAAGTGCAAAAAATGAGTTTTCAAGGAAAAGTTGTTGCCTTTAACACCAATAAAAACTTGCAAATTCAAGCTTTTTAAAATTTTTTTTGAAAAACTTTAAAAAGACTTTTCAATGAAAAATTGTTGTCACAAGTTCTACATAGTTTTCAGGTTTCTTATTTCCCAAAAAAATTTTCAACCACAAGTTTGAAGGTTGTCCAGAAATTTTTCTCAAAGCCTCAGAGGATCTGATAAAAGTGTTTAACTTTCAAAAGTTTATACACACGTGGTAACAGTAAACATAAAATTTATTGTATCTTGATTGCTTTCCTAGCATGATGGCAATTACTTTTAGATACCACAGATATGTCTCAAGTGGTTATTGTAGTTAGTAGAATCAAGAAGAAGCTGCATGTTAACATAAAATTTTTTGATGTTTAACATAAATTGATGGTCATTCCTATTACAAAATATACTGCTTTAAAACTTAGCTTTAAAGAGTCAAAGATTTTTCACTCTTCAGGTTTGTATTTAATATTGGGAAAATTCATAAGTTGATTGATCTCGGGGCAGAATACAAGGTCATTTTTCATGCCTAAGAACTGAGTTAGGTTCTTGTGGTGTTCAGGAAATAGTAAATTTGTTGCATTCTTGTGTTGTATATATCATAAAAACTTGTATATATCATAAAAACTTAAGATAAAAATAATTTTTAATGTCATAACCTCTTTCAGCACAATGTTATTAGTTATAATTTGACAGTACTATTAGATTTCATCATTATTACATTTTGGTTGTTTTT